ATGCAAGTCCTACTACAAAAGCAAACCTTTCTGAATGGATAAAGTGCATTCACAAGCTCATTTATGCTCAGCAGCTTGTAATTGATAACACTGTTAGATATAACCTGTGAAGTGTATTAATGCCCTTGGTTTTGGAGGGAACAAGTTTGAGTTCTGAGTTGAGTGGTCCTTGTTAAATTTTCACCTACTCCTATTTTCTTTTAGTTGTTCCCCATATAAAACAACTAGGTGTGAACACAAATTAGTTGCCAGTAGATATGGAAATTTGTTACCTGTAGCATCTGAATTGTGTGGTCATTCTCGTCTTTGCAAAGAGGCAAGTCAGCTCTCAAGACTAAGAGGGCTAAGTGAAGGCCCTTATCTCTGAAGTGTTGATCCAAAGCTGTTTTTATGGTTTGCACCACCTGTTCTTTGCTCAGGCTGCTATGAGAATATCCTGGCGTGTCGAGTACATGAACCCGAAGAGAGAGTTCACAGCCATTTCGCCGCATGATGCCTGTGATGCGACAGCTGCGTCCAAAACTGCAAGATGTAGTCAACGAGCTGGGGGACAGGTGGCTGTCAAAGTCTGAACTCCCCAGAAGGCTATTCCCAAGAGCACTTTTACCACTCTGGGTCCTTCCCAGCAAGAGCAGGTTGATGGTGATATCATTATCATCAAGCATTGTAAGTGCCTTTGTCCTTAAGTGCGCGTCTGTCAATGCAGAACAAGTTCTATTAATATTTGTTTTCAGATAGTTATAATACTTGTGTAAGTCAGTAGTAAACTGCAAGAATTACAACCTATATCAGTAACCACACTTGGATCACAAAGACGGTTTCCTCTGCCTTTGTTTGATTCTAAACAGCATGCTTCTTTATTCCTGCTGCCCTAGAAAAGGAGACCTAAGCATGGTACTAGAGCAGACCTAGCAGGTCTCCCATATTGAAAAAGATGGAAAAAACAGGTGGGAGTAAAGAGCTCATAAAAAGATAAGAGCAAGTAAGGAAGGAAGGTGACCAACCAATATTTGAATAGGGAAAATTACAAAGGCAGGGGGCTGGTTGCCAAAGAAGACATCAAGAAAGGCAGGAAAGATAGAATGGAGATAAATATGTTCTATAGCTTTCAAGTGCCCCTATTTTGTTAGTTAAGACTGAATTTGGCCCTAGAAATGTGATGGTGTGGGAAAAGCAGCATAAACCCCCACACAAATTTTGGAAAGTGGTTTAGAAAATTTCTTCCATAATCTACAAGGTGTTCTGGCAGGTCACCAAATTATATCATCAGGTGGAATGAAGCCCATTTCTGTAGGCCAAGACAAAAAGGGGAAATTAACACTAGTCTGGGATTTTACATTTGACAACCTCATGCCACAACAGAGTTCTGTCCTAAAATTGGAAATGCAGGGTGACTCCAGAATAGAGTTTTCTGGTCCAGATCAAACTCCACTTCTTTCTAAGGTAGTGATAACAGAACAATGTCTGTCACTGCTTGTGTTTCAGACTCTAAAGGTTGGGTAATAAGAATCAGTGTAACCTTTTAGCCTCCTATACAGTACCCACCACTGCTAGGGAAGGGAGAAACAAGGATGGAGGGTGGAAATGGTAATGTGTTCAATGCATTAAAGTAACCACCAAGAAATTACCTGGTTCTGGAGTCTTGGCTATTATCTCAAAACAACTTTAGCAGATTTTTGGAATTCAAAGAGAATTATGATTCAGGGACATTTTGAAAAAGGTTGAGTCTACACTGGGAAATAAATTGTTGGCTTCATATCACATAGACACCTGAAAACACTGGAGGGTTGCTCAAAGTCCTTTGGTTAATATTCACTATACACATTCTAGAAAGTCTGTGACTGCTTTTGAATGTCATTTCCTATCATCACATATTTGTTTAGGCACCGTTGAGCTTGTAGTTCAATATTGCTCCATCATCATTTGAGCCAGGCTCAGAGGAGCCTTCTGTGAAAATTCAAGCAAGTGAGAGGTTATTAAGCTAATATATTTGTGTTAAAGGGGACACTATATCCTTCATGTGATGTCTTCCTTGAAGAGTTCACAATGTGTGGAAAACGGATGGTCTATCCCCTGACTATTAAAGTAGATGGATTAATTGAACTTTTTTTTAGTAGCTGTCTAATAATCTTTATGGAAGACATCTGGGAAAACAGACAGCTTTTTATTAATTCGACTATCTAGAATTTTTTTAGGTTCATTTTCTGTAACATATTAATAATCCCTCTCCCAGCTGAGACTTGTTAGACCTATGCAGAAAAGTCTTCCTTTTTAAACCCTGTTGCCTGCTTTGTATGTATCATGCAGGCCTCTTTGCCGTCATGAGTCTGATTTTTTTCAGAAGTGTTGAACATCTATAGCATTCATTGAAGCCAGAGGGGGAAAGGTTGATGTATTACAGTCTAGCATTAGGATTATATAGGAAAATCACAGCAGATCAGGTGCATATTCAAACTTGTATATAAAATTAAGTATTGTTTTTTATCATAAAGGCTGGCATTTTTTGTTGATATTTTTCAAGTCAGTCTGGACAGCCTAAATACTTAGATTGATAATGGTATGTCACTTACCTTTTTCTTCTTTAAAATTCTTCCTCTACCAAGATTTATTCATATTCCATGTGTGCTGCTTTTGAGTATGAACTTTGAAGTTGACAGTGGCAGTGTACCACACTGAGACTGATACGTACTCTTTACTCTGGTTAATCTATTACAAATAGCTCTTCACTTAGGTCTACCCTCTAATCAGGATTGCTTATAAACTTCCTCTTGGTCACCTGCACAATTGCAGATTTGCATTTACATACTCATTGAGACCATCTCAAGGCTATATTAATTCTATCAGTTCTCTGAACCAAAGCTCTTATTTTACATACGGTTAAGGCACTTAGTGATTACTTCAACTCTACATTTTTAAGTATGCATAATTAAATTTCCATTGGGTGGGTTATGGAGGGGGGAGGTGTATTTACATGTGCATACATGTTCTACAGTATTCTTATGATGAATTTTAATGGGTTGCCTTTTAAAGTAACTGCCAGTGTCAAAACATGACAAGTTTTTTTGCACTAGTCATTAGATAAAATACAGAAAAGGGGCTGGGAACAGGAATGAAACCAAGTTCTCCCTACTGTGATGTAAGTGCCCTAATGCCTAGGCTACAGACATGGTTACTCTTGTCTCTCTTCTCTGGCCAAATGAATCTCAAATTCCTTGCTGTATAGTGGCAGAGATTCAAAAAGAGGAGGTGAATAATGCTACCCTTATACTCTGGGAGGTGTGGGTCTGAATCTGCTCAAGATGAGGCAGGAAATTAACTTAGCTCTTCCACTTCCTGGACAAGTATTCTAAACACTACGCTAGTATCTCCCATCATTCTTGGTTTTTCTTAGAGGAAAGAGTGAGCCCTGCTTGGTTCTTTGAAAACCAGGTTGTAAGCACTTCCCTTCTGGCATGGATTGCAGACTGTGGAAGGCACTGAAGACCTAAAGAGGGTGGGATTTAAGATGCCTTCCTGCCTTTGGCATATCCTATTGTTTAAGTCTAAGCAACTGCACTGTGGTCATACTGACTTTAGGCAGCTTCCTGTTCAGCATGCTGGTTGCTCTAAATCTCATTCTGACACTGGCACATTCTCCTCATTCACTGTGAAGACAGCCTAGGCATGCAGATGATACTAACTGTTAGGTGCCTCAGTTCCTTTACTGGGGCTATCTCAAAAATTTTGTTAATTTAGAGTAGTCATAGTAAGGTAGTTTTCCTAACCTGTCACTGTACTACAACCTTTCTATGGAGAGAGTATCCCTTGAAATGAAAGAGTGGTCGGGATTCACTTTACAAGATGATAGATTTTTTCAGTCCCAGTGGCCAGTGTGGCCTGAAACCTCAGCCTCCATTTCAATACAATAATGCAGCCCTGAGCTACCCCCATAGACCATTTCTGTATTGAAACTTAGCTATGGATTTTACGCAGTATACTGTTAGTAATGATGCCCAATCGGGCTATTATCATGAAAGCAAGTTAGGCGCATTCTTGGCCAGGATGGTTTAATCAGGATTCTGCCTTTCAGCTGTACTTTCCCAGGATGATCTGATGGTATTAGGAAGACAGGACTCTTCTGTTAACCCAGCCAGTTAAGTTGCCAGGACCCTGCTTTAAATTAAGACCTGTAGATTCACTGTGGCAAGTACCCTTTTCTAGCTCCAGGATAGATGTTGGGGACATAGATGCATTCACCTAGACAGAGAGAAAGCAGATGAAGGAGCCAAGACAGGGAAACAGCCTTGTGGGATACTTGGGGAATATCCAATCTCAGGGATAAAATGTAGGCTATGATTGACATTATTGCTTTTGAGTGACGGATAACGCTAAACCCCAGGAAGTACGTGCTAACTTTGGGTCTGTGTGTGCTCCTGAGGGTAGAGTAGGGACTTGGCCCACTTGCAAGTATCCTGAACAGCAATGTCAAAGTAAAATAGGTCCTGATAAATCACAATGAAAACTTCACAGTACTTCTTCCCCCCTTCAAAAAGGCATGTTTTACAGGATGTATTGTAACGTACCCTAAGTTGGAAGACATCTGGAAGATCTTATGACTGCATGGGTAGAGAGATTTAAGAAGTCTTCTTCCTGTGGGAATAAGACAGGGAAAACATGAAATTGATTTATATGACAAACATTCAAAACTCCTTGAACTACTTGGAAAGAGTCTTCCCCAAGGTGGCAGTATCAGCCTGTTTCACAGGTACTTTGAAACTAAACAGGGGTTCCCTTTCTCCAGAGATTTTCCACTGAAATAAAATATCAGAGATAAAATCCATTCAAATAAAGATTAATTATTACACAGATATTCCAAATAGCAGTAGAATAATTTAAAGTTGAAAATAAATATTTCCCAACTGTCACCTCCAAACAATATTCC